CTTTCACTGGATATGGAAGCAGTGCAGCTGATCGCAGCAACTGTTCCATCGGGTGCTCTGAGATGCATTTCTGAAGCATTAAAGTGCGCCAGTTTTTGCTTTTTAAGTAGATGTGGCTACTCTATTTTGGATGCACTCAAGAGCAGGTTGGTCAGGCAGGGAGCAAGATATTGAGAAGCAAAGTGGATTTATTTTATATTTTATTTTCATACAGTTAATTAATACTCATAATACAGTATATATGAGCACTGAATTAGAAAGATATCAAAAAAACAAAATAGAAAACAGATAAGGTGATTAGATAAAAAGCAAGCACATTGGAAACAACTGAAAGTATGGCCAAATAACCATTTTACTGGCTTACCTGACTGATCTTCTCTAGATCAGTCAGGTTTCTGGGCTGTCACTAAGAAACACAGAGTTTGAGCTTCCTCCAAAGATTCTCTATTGGGTTTAGGTCTTTACACTGGCTAGAGCTCGCCAGAATCTTGATATGCTTCTTAAAGAGCCATTCCTTGGTTATGCTGGCTGTATGCTTCGGGTCATTGTCATGTTGGAAGACCCAGCCTCGACCCATCTTAAATGCTCTAACTGAGAGAAGGAGGTTCTTCCCCGGAATCTCGCAACACATGGCCCTGGTCCTCCTCGCCTTGGTGTGAATAAATATGAAACTAAAAACTGTTGCGGAGGAAATCCGGCGCAAAAAACCCCCAAAAATACTTGCAATAAATACACAAACATGAAAAAAGCACTTGATGCTTTCAAACATAAAAAAAAATGTATAACAGAAAATAAATTAGTTAAAAATAAGTTATTTTAAAAGCAAGAAGAAAAGTAGAATTAAAAGTGGAAGTTAAAATTTATAATTTTAAATGAATAATTGATCAATTGTTGAAGAAATATCAAATTTATATCATTTTATCATATTTAATGGCACACAAATTCATATTAGCTACTTCTTCAAGAAATGTTATGTTATTAAGTACTTTATTTATTTCTGTGTGTATCTTTAATCATGGCAGGATTGGTCCTCCAGGGCAGTCACCTTGTCCCGTGTGCTGAAAAACACCACATGTGCTATCACCCCCTTGCTTCCCAGTAGGGATGGTGTTCTTGGGATTGTTCTCATCATTCTGCTTCCTCAAAACATGCTTAGTGGAATTATGACAAAAAAATTCAATTTTTGTCTCATCTGACCACATGACTTTCTCCCATGACTAATCTGGATCATTGGCAAACTTATGATGGGCCTTGACATGTGCTGGTTTCAGACCATGACGTCTTAATGTATTACCAACAGTAACCTTGGAAACGGTGGTCCCAGCGCTTTCCAGGTCATTGACCAGCTCCTCCCATGTAGTTCTGGGCTGATTGCCTGGAATGAGCTTCAAAAAAACACTTAAAACAGAGGATCTTTGCATCAGCAGCAGAGCTTGAACCAATATGTTTTTTGAAGCCTACAGCTACAATTCTTAAGGTTTTGTTTATATTTTAGTTATTTATTGGTTTTTACTGTGTTGTTTTTATGATTATAATGTTATTCTTATTTATTATAAATTGCACAGTTGTAAATGGTTGTAATGAAAATGTCTTTAACTTCCTGTACTGACATTACTGTAAATAAGAATTTGTAATTAATTACTTAACAATTCAAATAAAGGCTAAATAAGCAGATTAAAATAAATCGGAATGAGCTGCAAAGACACCGTTTGGGTGACAATTAACAGGACAGGATAAATGGGACCAAATGTCAGCATTTATGCCATATAATCAGAAAGACAAATAAAAATCACACCAAACAATCACCGTTGCCATGGTAAAAATGGTCGTGGCAGCAGCCTGCTTTGGGTATTAGCTTCTTTGGCAGTTACATGAACTGTTTAGAGTTTATTACTTAAATCAAGATAAGTAATTGTAGCAAAAGCTTGAAATTGCTAACAACACTGAACCTGAGCTTGACATACTCTGAAAATGAGTAGCCTTTAGGATACATCTCTACAAATTCTTTAGATAACATCATACAAAACAGAAAAGAATGAGCCTAATGAAATTACCCAAACACGTCTGTCCTCAAAGGCTCTATAATGTAGACTCCCTTACTTAGACCATAAATGCTGGTTACTTTTTATCCCATGTTTCCCTTTTTCATTTTATCTAATTTCATTATCCAATAGTTTATGAGGCTACTTTGTCTCAATAACCTTGACATTTTTTTGTCATTTATTTTCAACCTTCCATCCTCTTGCTGCATCAGCCGTCAAACAGGATAATGTAGGAAGAATGCAGCTTAAAGTCTCATATAGAAACGGTGACCTCAATCTGCAATTTCCTTTCATTACCACAACCACTGAAAATAAATCGGGTTTTGGACTTGCCTTTGATGATAGGTTTATGTGTGAGTAAATTAAAAGATGTCATGGTCATTGTATATGGCTCTGTAGATGGTGGCACATACTGATAATGTCTGCTCAGGATGAAGTTTGAGCATCTGCAATCTCCTAAAAAGAGGTGGTGATTTCTTTTTTTTCTTTTGCTGGAAGCACTGCAGCTCTATGTGAGGAATATTGTGTGGAGCGTGAAATAGTTTCATAAAGCTTTAGGGTTCGAGGTGTTTGATTTATAAGTATTTCACATCTGAAATGGAGGATACTTTCAAGCGTATCCTTTTTTGATACCATCTGTTGTTTAGAAGCCAAAATGTGGGATTCTGCATATATCAAAACTAATGGAAACCTAATGGGCCATCACAAAAAGTCCATGAATATGAGCTGTGACATTTTACGGAAGCAAACAATCCCAAAAACAGTGACATGTTTTGTTTCTCATTACACAAATGACTTTTCAAGGAATGGAGATTCTTCCTTCACTCAGTCGGCTTGAAAATTACTTCTACCTATTCACACATTATTATAATGCAAAAGACAAGACCATCTGTCACTTCTTACAGTCAAATCTGGTAGTTTTTCCACCCACCTACCTAGATATTAACCATATATTCCAAATACATTTATCTGTAATATGTCTTTCCACAAAAAAACTAAGAATTTGATATTTGGAACTTTTATCATAATGTGCTGCATATTGGTTGGTAATGAGGGCAATTTGTCTATTTGTCTGTTCTTAGGAAATGGTTACAGTACCTTTCAAATATGATGAAAAACCCTAAATCTTTTCATACCTTTTAAAATGACACCTACGACATTTCATGTATTTTATAGACATTTTTGACATTTCAAAATATACACCAACCCAAAGCAGAGCATAATATTGATATGAAAGAAAAAGCAACATCTTGCTTTTTTTTTTTTTGTTACTTATATTAAAGCAAGCCCTTCACTCTGATGCCCCCAGATAAAATCTAGTAAGACCAATAGCCTTTGGGAGGTGCTTAATAAGTTACTACTCCCAATTAATTTTGTAGAATCACGTTTCATTACAGTTAACTTTAAAGATCAAGATTTATATTGAGATGAAATAAAGCACTGTCATTCTGTTAACTATTTAAAACAGTTGGTTATCCAGGATTTTATTTAGCGTAACAGAGTAGAGAGTTTAACATAAATGCATAACATGCTTTTCACAATATTTCTTCCATCTCACAATTATGTAATAACTTTGTAGCTATATCAGCAAAATATGCAAGTTAAACAGATACTTTTACAAGGCAGCATTATTTAGCTTTAAGAGCTAGAGAAATTCTGCAAATCTGAAGCACTTCGTGGTGGAGACATTTGTAGACCTAGGCAGCTTCCACTAAAATTCAGCACTCCAAAAAGGAGAAAGAAAAAAATGTTTCCCTTTGTTTAATTTTTTACAAGATGCAAACTGCTGTTGCAAACTTTTTAATCCTACTTAATTATTAGCCATAAATATAGGGACAGGTTAATTCCTTTAAGATTCTGGTATAATCTGGTATAATAACCTTGACTTGAAGGCTTTGGTTTGACGGCCCTATTATATTTAAATGAGCAAGTTTTACATAATAGTATTTAACATGATATGCTTTTATAGAAAACAGTTATTCCTATTGTAGCTGCAATGATTAAGCCATTGATATTACAGTAAAATGTATATATATATATGTATAGATGTTTACATCTCTTTATTTATTGGCATTTTACTGCTTGTCAGCTTTGAAATTTCTCAATGATTGAATGATACCTAAAATAGAAGTCTGCTATGACCTTGTTCTCTCTACAGACAGACTGCTCCAGTGACAGTGAGAGTGAAGATAACTTCATAGTTGTTCCACCACGAGACCACCTTGGCCTGGCTATATTCTCCATGCTCTGCTGTTTCTGGCCTTTGGGGATAGCAGCCTTTTACTTCTCACAGGGGGTGAGTCCACACACATTTATACACACATACAAGCATGCCTTTATAGTCCGTTACACATGAATGGTGCAGCATCTGTTTGTCAAGGTCCAACATCACATGCTACCAAACGCACAAAAATACACACGTTTTCATACATTTGTCTGCACACATGAACATTCACAGTTATTCTGTGATGTGTGAGTCATTACCAGAAGATTAAGGACCATCACAACCAGTAAAAACCTTGCAGCTGACGGTCCTAATACAAGGCCAATTTTTATTAAGCTAGCCATCAATAACTCAAGGCCAATCTATAAGGTTGATGCTCTGTAAACACGATGAGAGCCTCTTTTAGAGCAAGTACATAAATCACTTTTAAGGCTCTATCTCTGAACACCAAGGAAAGAGGCTTTCAAAATCCTTAGGTGAAAAAGACCCTTTGAACTGTTGCCATTCTCAAGAGCATTAAAGATGAACCCAATTAAAGATGTTTCAAAGTGTAAAAATTGTTGAGGTCTTAGAAACATTAAACAGACTTGTTTTAAGCTTCTTTGCAGCAGTTAAGAGGAAAAAAAACAAGGTAGACAAAGGCACAAACAGAATTTTTGATTTCTTTTTTACATATTTACAGAGCATTTTAACTGTTTCATCTAGTAATTATAATAGCCTTCCTAACTTTTTACCACAAAAAAAATTACAATTAATTTCTTCCCCTCTCAAAAAGTTTCTCCATTTCAGCTTCAGTGGATAACATCTACAGTATTTGGACTTTGAAACCATTGACAAATATCTAGACGTCTTAATTTGGGTTGTTTTGAGTTTTGATTATTTTGTTTGATAGTTTATCTTTATTTATTTTTTTTTTCCTTACTATTATTAATTCTTTACTTTAGAAGTATTGTTTTTTGTCTTGCTTTAATCTTATATTCTGTTATTTAATCTGCCTGATATGTTTGCTGAATTTTGCTAGATATTATCTGCTTTAATTCTACTGATTATTTTATACTGTACTTTCTTTCAGTCATTCTTTCCCTATATTGGTATAGATTTCATTTCAGTCGTATTTCAGTTGTAATTATCCTGTTAATCTAACAGTACCCATCTTGTCCATCTAAGTTCTGTTCCATTTATTTATCTTTAGTTAAATTATCATCTTCTCAACATGTAGCTTCCAAGGGTCCATCTACATTTTATTCCTGAGCAGCAACACATAACAATAGGTGTTATCTTGTGTGCAATCTGCAGTAGAACCCACAATGTACTGTAGATGTGAATATGGGACTTTTTTTATCTATTGAAAATAGAGTGAGTTTGCTTTCTAATTGCATTTAAATAATAACGCATGCGGTTATCTGTCTGTGGTCGTTACACAACGGCAACAGCAGGGGGCCCAAAATTTTGGTGGCAGGTGTCTTCTAATAATCGCAACAGGGAAAGACTGACTTCAGATCATCTGGACCGAGTATACGGTCCTCTGACACGGTCCTCTGACACGGTTAATCACAGCCACTTTAGTCGGTTGGAGGGGTTCCACCCAGCATGCCGCAGATGGTCCTTGAAGCGTCCCAGAAGCTTGAGGCTTTAACTCCATGTAAGTCTGGAGCAGACTGGACTATCAGGCAGGAAGTAGGTTATTAAGAAGCAAATTGGATCTGGTGGAGTTTCAAAATTAAATGCTACATGTGAAGACCGTCGCATTTTACTCTGAAACACTACCTGGGACCATTACATGTTCATTTGGAAGGTGGAAAAACACAGTATTTTATACGACATGACTCATTTGTTTTTTAAATATAAAACAAAAAAGAATGATCGGATGACGGAATGATGTGAATCGTCGGCCTTCTTTCTGTCATAAGAGAATTCTACCAATGAGCTTCCACAGCCACAGGCGGAAAGGAAAGGTGACCAGATAAAGAGCAAGTCCACCTGCTCTGAAGCGCTCTGCTCTGAAACGCTCGGGTCTGGAATAGGGGGCTTGGCAAAAACTGCAGCATGTGTGCTCTGCGGAGGCTCTGAGGATGCTCCGCAGTGCTTACAAATTCAGGGGAACCTCTGGCTTAGGGAGAAAAAAATGGAGTGAGATGGTGATTGTCCTTAGCAAAGAGGGTCAGAAGAGCCAGAGTTATGGTGCTAATTTCATGATAATGGTGGTTAATGAAGCAAAATAATATGAAATGATGCAGAATCCAGTGTTGACTGGTTCAAGAGAATGATGCGTCATTGAGGCTTTGCAGTACGTCACAAAAGCAGCCTTGCCAAGGCCATCCTTGAAGACTTTGGAGAGAAGCTGCTGTGTTTTAGAAAAACGTGATTGGTTTGGGAAGAAAAACACTCATATCCCCTCGATCAGATGGGAAATGCTGACCAAACCCCCATTTTTTGGCATTATAAACCAATTATAAAATATCTACAATTTGAGGTGACAGGTGAGAGGTTATCGTGTTCTTTTGAAGTCAACAGGAAATGAAAAGAGTCGGGTCAACATGATGTTGTCTGTCAGATGGGACAGACAAAATAGAAACAAACTGCTCTCAGAAAAATGAGAAACATAGAAAATGTTACCTCTGGTTAATTCTATTGATTAATAACAAACACCTAATATTCCATAACTAAACCACTAGCTGTATTTAGAATTTCAATTACAAAAAGTTTTCCAAATTCATTGACACTTATTATTAAAAGAAACTCCACAGCTACTTTGGCTAGTATTGAGTTTCTTTCACTGAGCAGTAACTGAGTAATAAGTAACATTTTTAAGAAAATAATAGTAACTATAACTAGTCACTACTTGCCCAACACTAACAATTGGACATTTAAGATTAAAATGTTTCCACTAATTAGCATCACAGGTATCTACAACCTTGTAATCAGTCAGTGGGCCTATATATAGGGCTACAGGTAGCCACTATATAGGTTACTGTGCGGTTTGGTGACATGGTGTGTACCACACTCAACAGAAAAAACATCAAGACATTTTTTAACAAGCCTGTTAAAGGTAAAGGCTATAAGACCATCTCCAAACAGCTTGATTTTTCTGCGACTACAGTTGTACCAGGGCTGGACGATATTACCTATTTGCCAAACTATATATTTCAATGCTTCTGGGGAAATGTCCTATGGACAGATGAGACCACAACTGAGCTTTTTGCCAAGGCACATCAGCTCTATGTTCATAGAGGGAAAATGAAGCAAAGAACATTGTCACATTCCTTCATCCAACAAAGGGTGCCTTGAGTCTCTGCAGGGTACAATTAAATCTCACAATTCAAGATTAAGGGATTATGGAAGGAATTGTGCATCCCAGTGTCAGAAAGCTTGGTTTCAGTCACAGGTTATGGATCTTTAACATGATAATGACCCATAATACAACTAAAGACACTCAGGAATGCCTAAGAGGAAAACATTGGACTATTCTGAAATAGCCTTCTATGAGCCCTAACATCTTAATGAGCATCTTTGAAAGGAGCTAAACCAGGCCATCTGTAAAGGCCCCATTACAACCTAAGACAACTGGAGCAGTTTGCTCATGAGGAGAGGACCAAAATACCTGCTGAGAGTAGCAGAAGGCTTAGCAATCATTTCCTTGCAGAGATTGCCTGAAAAGGTTTTGCAGCAGAATATTCGGTTAAAGGTGCCATCATTTTTGTCCATGCCTGCTTTTTTGGTTTATGTTTTTTTTTTTTTTACATCATTTTGTTGAAGCATGGTTGAAAAGTAATGTTTGACTTTCATTAGTTGTTTTTTTATAGAATTTGTATTTATTGTTACTTTTGTCAGATTCAACTTATTTCTGTGACCATTGTGGGTTTTTCTTTCAATACACGAGGGGCACCAACAATTTTGGCCACATTCGTATATTAATCACCTTTGCATGTACAGTACAAGAAAAGATGTCCTCTGCATTTAACTTATCCCTTAACAGGCAGTAAGTAACTTGCAGCTGCAGGCAAGGATTCTTGGTGTTGCTCAGGGACCTATGGTGAAGGTCTGATTTTATTAAACTTTGTTTTCTTCTTTCAGCTTTTTCTGCATCTTTACATGATCAAATGATCTCTTAGCCAATATATATTTTACAAATAAAGATCTTAAAATTGACTGTGAACAACAATATTTCTCCCAGCGTTATTTATAAATTTTATGTTCCTCTTAAAACAAGTACACATATGTGACCTCACAGCATCTGAGTTTTAACCATTAAGATTAGCAAAATGCTTCCTTCCTTTCTCATGGTTTGCAGGAAACAGATCCAATGATGCCACGTTAAATAGAGAGGACAAAGTCCAGTTGCTGTCTTGCCACTAACCAATTCTTTCCCATGCACCAGCAGGCGTAATACATTTAAGGGATATCATTAGCAAACCCACATGCACACAAAAGCCAATTTAAAACCAGGCACTGTACCCACACATTTGCTATAGATTGACAGCAGTTTTACTAAATTGCCTTAGATGATAAAGTTTAAACATTTAACCATCTTATCTTCGGAGGCAACGGCTTCAAGTCAGTCAGTGAATTATCTTGTCAGGAGCTAATTTGATTCCTTCTAAGTAATTATGAGAACATCGTGGCAGCCTTAAAGTACAAGGTTTTTCTTTTCTGCCAGTCTCCTGCTTTAGAAGGTGTATCTCAAGGAGCCGTCATGAAAAAGAACATAGGGGGAGTTTTAAATTAGTTTATGTCATACCTGAGTATTTTCCTTCACTGTCTTCATTTCATCCCTTTTTTCAGGAAGTAAAACAAATGAAAAATGTTTTATTTAGGTCTATATGACTGTGTTTAATTTTTTTAGATGAATATATGCATATATGGTCCTATAAAGAGGTTGCAGTCTGGGGGTTTTAGGTTGAATTTTGTGTTGAACAATATCGATTTAAGAACTAATTTTTTACAGTATTAAAAAAGATAGCATCCTGCTGACATATATATATATATATATATATATATATATATATATATATATATATATATATATATATATATATATATATATATATATATATATCACTGTGATTGTTTTT